GCACGACTTATTTATCCACTTGGTCGCGCGATCAATCATCTGATTCGCCACAGGCAGCATCGAATTAGTCACACTTTGCACTTGTGTCTTCTCGTCAGCAGCATCAGAGAATAAACGTCCATGGAGTATTGTTTTGCCATCAGTAGAGCCACTGGCCCTGTCCGAAGATGAAGAGGAAAGCGCAGGCTCCCCTGGAGACGCCGTGGCTGGTGCTCCTGCTGCGCCACCAGAAACTGGCTGTCCCATATAACCATCCGCGGCACCTGACGCTGTCAAGGTTGAAGATGAGACTAAGTTGCCGACTTCTACTCCCCCTGCGCAACTAGTTGTACTGTCAGAACCTACGCCGCACCCGAAGGTAGTGCTGCACTTCCCTGCCTCTGGCCCGATGCTGCTGCTGCTTCCGCCAGTTTTAGCGCTCCCAACTTCCTCTCTAGTTCTTCCGCTCATGTCGGCACCGCCCAGCATGTGCTTGTTCTCCAGTCTAATATTGGAATACGCTTGCCCGCCAGATACTGTTCGATCCCAGCCAATACGAGACTGCCGGGCGACGCCATCGACTTCTGACCTAATAACAGCAAAAGCACCCGACGGAAGATACGCTCCTTCAGGGGGGCACTCACCAGCCGGAAACACATCAATTGGACCACATGAACCGCCATGGGCAGAAATGAGACTGAGGTCTTCAGCTTCACGATCTACCTCCCGCGCTGCAGCTCCTGCCCCGCACAGAGAAGACGCCGGACCCCTATGCAAGCTGCTATGATTGTCTCCTTTCTCCCGAACCTCTGGGAACAAGAGATGATCTCTTCCCCGAAGTAGCTTTTTGGTCAAGTTTTCACCTGCTTCACAACTATACTGAAACACACGCACGAAGTCCCGTAGCTTAGCTCTATCCTGTGGCACTCTACAATCGAAAAAATTACGAATCGCTTCGTTGCAGATTTCATCGAGATGTGAAGCCCACTCAAGCCGATGCGCCGCTGCAGTCATCATCTCGCGCTCCTCATGCGTAACAAGCGAGCGCTGGCTTCCCCTCAGCGATAATAGACTATCAGCACTAATTCCATTTGCAGCCGCATCCACATGACCATGACCACTAAAACACGAAGCGCCCGAAAGAATGCTGCCCGTTCCAGATCCATTGTCTAGCGCCAGCCGACTTTGCCCTGCGTTAGAATCTAAAAAACCTCGACGGCTTGTGGGCGCGCGATCAAAGAGCGCGACGAGCCGCTTTTTCCAAGAGTCGCCGATGTCGAATGGAAGGGGAAGTCTGGATATGTTATTGCTACTCGATGAAAGTGGACCTGCAGACGCGAGTAGCCTATTGCTTTTATACCCAGCGCAGCTCAATCCTGCTGCCCCCAGCGTGATGCGCTCCGCATCTTTGGACAAGCGAAGCACATGCTCTAACAATGACAGCTGCGTCCCGGCAAACGCATGGCCTCCAGGTCCATGATGGGTCTCCTGCGGCAGACAACGATATGACGCGCAGTCATCATCTTTCACATTTTCACCAAGGGACGAGAAACGCACGTCGCCGCCCATGTTCATCCGGTCTGAAATGTTAACAACATCTGGCAGCGTCAGGCCTTGCTGCCCTGAAGCAGAAGATCTACTTTGATGATGAAGTCCCGCAGAGTCAAAAGTGCCTCTAGCTCCACTCGCCGCTCTAGTGTCAAGAAGTGGGACATGCGAAAGTCGCAAGAGTTGCGGTTGTGAGTGGTCATCTCCGTTTCCGAGGACGCTCTGACGATCGAGACCAGCTAGTGCGCGCGCCAGACATGCAGTCGCGGACGCGTCTGCAGATTCGTCACGCCCATCCCAAAAGACCTTGCTGACCTCACTCCTGGACATCACAGCTACACGAGAGACTTCCGCTTGCGTCTTTTTTGACCAGGATACGTTGTGACGCTTCTCAAATGCGCGACGCCACGCTTTTGCGTTTCGGTTGATCACAGCCTTGTTCTTTTGGCTGAGGCCTTTGAAAACCTGCGCTGTGTTCATGAGAAGACCCGCCTGCTGCGTTCCTACACTTACTGGCCCCGCTGGCGTCCCCAAGTATGCGAGAGGAGCCGCTCCGGCGTCCAGATGCGTCGTCTCTCCTGGCACTGTAAGGCCATCTACTGACGCAAGACGAGGACCTTGGAGAATATGTCCATCACTAGCTCGTAGTACTCTTAGTTCCCCATCCCCACCCATCGCAGCGCCTTCACCTGCCATGGAGACACGCAGATGCGAAGGAGTTCTACCACCGGCGTTGACGCGTTCCGATGCGCCCGAAGATGATGACGCCCTGGCATCGGGAAGTAAAGAACTAACAGCGCGCGCAGATGAACTACTACTCGCGAAGGTGAACACGTTGTCGCGCTGAGCTCTAGGCAGCCCGCTGTTTGTCAAGTCTGCACAACCAACAAACGCTCGCCCCTCACGTGCTGCGTCAGCCATAGCTGAAATCTGTCTGCTAGTCAAACCAAGCGCTGAGCGAACCCCAACAGTTCTCGTAGCATCATGACTTCCGGTGGTGCTGGCGCATCCAAAGCCCAAAGAGGTTAAGCAGCCTTCGACAGTTCCCGTCTTCGAGCCTTTCATCAAGTCCTTGACAGACACGCCCGACCAATAGCTAGCAGCGTCGCGAGGATCTGCGAAATTATCTATAGAAGAAGCTTTGTCCATCTCCCGCGCCAGTCTGGACTTCTCAAACTTCTTGCTTTCCAGGTTCGCACGCCTGAAGTTCTCGGGCGCAAGATCGCTGCGACGCATAGAGGAACCAGACGTGACCCCTTCGTGTTCCGGTGGTCCCAAACTCGTGCTTCTGCCTCCGATTGAAGAAGACGAATATGACGCCGCACCTCCACCTCCCGCCGATGCAGATAAGCTCCTCTGCGGTCGTGGGTCGAGCATCAAGTCGAACTGTGACGCCACCGAGCCACGCAAATCTCCCACACGCTCTCCATTTAAGACAGAAGATGGGAAACCCATGCTAACGCGCGCGATCTGCTCATGATCGCGATGTTGCGTTTCCGAAGTGTGACGCACTCGGAAACGCTCTGCTGCGCCGTGACGGCCGAGTGCAACGCTTCCTCCGTCCTCGAGTGCCGAGGACTTCTCCACTACAAAACTGCCCGCTTTTGTATCCTGCCGCGACGCGAGATAAATGCCAAGGTTCTCTGCTGCCAGAAGTTGCTTCCGGCGCTGCTCCACCGCTTCACTCTCTCGTTCACGTGCTCGAAGACGTTTCTCTGCTGCTGTGAGTAGTGGTTGTCCTCCTCCTCTTGCTCCCACCAGACGATCCGCTGAAGTTGAAGTTGAAGACGAAGATGAAGATGAAAACGACGGCAGCACAGTGCTGCTCCTGCTGCTGCTGGCCCACCCGGTCGCATCATGCGAAGACGCGGCGTCTCTCACATCCGGACCAAAAAAGGCCTCCAGAGGGTCATGCTGACGTTGACGTGCTGCCGTCGCAAGCTCACGCTCACCTCGGTTGCCAAAGCTAAAGCGATCACCTGCCAGCAGAAGTCCTCCAAGATCTCTTCCTTCTGCAGCTTCATTGCCTGGCCTCTGTATTTTTACAGTCTTCCATCTCTTCGATTTTTTTTGTGGCATCTTGGTCGATGATCAGATCACGAACTACGCCTCCTGCTGCCACACCGCCTGCCACCAGGAGTCCCCCACGACGATGCAAGAGCTAGATCAGGGCGATCGTCTTCGTCAGCAATAATTCCTCTCGTAGTTGCTGGTTGTTTAGGTGTATAGATATCCAGCATCTCAAGATGACGAGTAAATAAAGAACCCCCATGGACATAGTTCTGCTTTTTCAATCTAGTAACTAGCACTTTCTAAAAAGACGACTGCCGATGTGGTCATGGCACTTAGGCCATCCTTTTCGACCAAAGGACGGACCAGGAGCACGAGTAACAAGACTAGACTGCTATTAGCCATAGTCACCATTTGTTCCATCAACTGCATAGCTGTCACTTACTCTTACTCAAAGCAAGCAGACGAAATTCCTCAAAGTCAAATTAACTCTTAAAGTGAAAAGGTGCCAGTCGTGCCCCACTGGCGGTTAAGACGCACCGTCCGCCCACGTTCCACAAATGCGCGATGATCGAAGGCTATGCCGTTCTTTTTTACCACAAGAATTCCAGCCCAACTTGATCCACCTGCGCTTTTGATGCTCCTTGTCGCCTCCAGCTGCTGATCTATTTTGCATGGTCCTGGCACAACCACCAGAGAGGCAAAGCTTAATACTGCTCAACAGAGGCAGAGCCCATCTTCTTGATCTTCATGTTGATAGTGTTGTTTTGAAAAGTGCGGAACAAGATGTGGAGGTGGAGGAGCATTGCAAATGCAATAAGACTAGAAATAGACGAATGCATGATCATGGCGACGATGTAGATGTAGTCAGCTATAACAAGACACTTGGTCCTTGGACGCTAATCTACACCAAGTCGGCACACTCCTCGCAGCCCTGAGAGGGAGCGGGCGATACTCTTTTAGGGGAGCCGCCTACTCTTCTAGAAGATCTACATAGACGAGGCGACGCCTCTTCATCCAGTGCACGTAGTACTTCTACAGCCAGGCGCCAAGCCCGTATAATATCATGACCATACCTAGAGGGAGTCTGAAAGTCAAGTCAGTAGTTACGGTCTGCCACGTTGTCGCTGTAGCCTTCTCTCACACTCACGCTAGTAGCATTTTTTTCATGAGTTTGTTTGCAGCTCCTCGCCCTGCAGAATCAGTATTATTTTAGAAGGTATACATCTGGAGTTCTACTCTGCTCCAATACTACTCTGCTCAAAAGCAACTCCGCTTAAAAACTACTCTGCTCACGAACTACTCTGCTCAAAAACAAGGAGTAGTGGCAACGCACTCATTTCGCAGACCATGTTCTGAACTTCTTGCTCTGCTCCTGCCCTCATGGTGCCTCCAGCAGCACCCGCCTGATCCTCCTGATCGCGATTAGACTTTCAGACTATCTCATCTGCAAAGAATATATGGCCAAGGAGGCATCGCGAGCCACTGTGCTGGTGCATTAGTACTTCGTTTCAGAGTCGCGCATGAAATGGAGCGCCAACGAGAACGCTGCATCGTCACGCTCGTCTTGTTCGTTGCTAAGTAGTATCTCACAAAATGGCTAGTAGCAGCTTTGACTTTATTTGCCCCTTGGTTGTGGAGCAGTATGATCTTCAAGCTTCACATCGTAACGTCCTGTGAAGTCAGTGGAGTCGCGGACGCGGTGGTGTAGAACAGAGATGACACCTCTGCTCTGGAGGTCGAAAGCTAACTACTACGGGCGCAACTATACGCGCCGCTCTTCATATTATTCGCTAACTAGTATGGTACTGCGTTTGTAGTGCCTAAAAAAAAGTTTGAATCTTTAGTAAGCTCAGTCTTCAGTCATGCTTAATATTGGCAAGTCTCATCTTTCATCTTCCTGTGTCCTGCTCCTGTCTACAACTGCATGAAGTTCAGGTTGGCATTGAAATGGTACAAATCACGAACGTAAGCGAACAAGATCAGAGCAAGAAACACACAAGCACGGATAAGCAGACGAAGTTTCTAGACGTTCTATCTATTACTAAAAAGAGCACAACGTCGCTACGAGGTTGAAAGACAGCAGCTGTTTTTGAATCACAAGTAAGAAAGTGAGAACGAAACTGCCTGTACTGTTTATATTACGAACTTCAACTGCAACTGCTACGGGCATCCACCTTCATCCTTACGGTAGACCTTGCTCCCGTTGAAACATATCGGCCTCCACATGATCGTCGTGGCAGATCATCTGCAAGAAGAGCTACTGCAGCTTCTACTTCGTCTATACTGCTGCCAAGTTCTGGTCTGCGCGACCATCTGCGGAGCCGGACGTCGAGTATATGTTGACTCATATCGATCGCTCGGCTCCTGCTCCTCTCTACTGGCGGCGGCGCACTATCTTGAATAAAACGCAACCGGACCACGATGAGAGTGAGAATGAATGCTAACCCTGCGACAGTACAGCCTCGCTGTTCACCCACGAGCGCACGATAGTGCATGAGAATGAGATGTAAACTAGTATAGTATACCAGCTGAAGAAGCCAGCGCCCTATAATGTAGATACACCCTTCATCTACGACCACCGATCCCATCCTATTGTATACGCACACATATTAACAAGCAGCAAGACCAGCTGCTCTACATGAGTACACAAGAACGGAAGAAGGCGCCACTACCAGCACGAGAAGACTGCGCCTCCACAACTGACTTTCTTCTTGCCGCTACTAGATCAGATGTCACTTCTGCGGTCGATAATCCTTGTCCATCTGAAGCGTCTTCAAATGAAGAATCTCCATCATCTACTTCATCACCCACCTCCTCAGAAATAGTAGCTGGCTCGTCGTGGTGTAGAAGTTGCCGCCCGCGTGCTGTCAGGGTTAGAGCAGTTTGTAGATGGTGTAGTCGTCCTAGAAAATAAGGAATAAATCAAGACTGAGCAGCACCAGTTGCTAAAACCGCTGCGCCAGGGCCAGCGCGAACATCTAGTACTTTTATGGAATGAAGTCCGAGATCTTCAGTAGACACAGCTCTTCTACTAGTTGCGTGATCATCCAGCATCGACGCTCATATTTATTAGTCACTACAAGAGCTAGTAGCGTGGCACTCCTACGCACATCTACTACTTCTAGTACTACTAGAGACCCTTATGATATGCCTAAGTCATGCGTCGTCATCTAATTATCAAACGAAGAAAACAAGACGAAATCAGACCAGCGGATGAATTCAGTGCGGGATGGTCTATCAACTTCAAGGCCATACAAACTTATCGCCAGATCCTGCCACTTGCTCCCGCTTCGACTTCGCCACCGTGCTCTTGTGCTTGTTCTTCATCTTCACCTCCACCTCCGACGAAGTGGCCCTCCGGGAGATGAGCGCTGGCGTGGGCTGGTCACCACTGAAGCTTCCATCATGATCTCTTTCATCTTCTAGTTGTACAGCGACAGCGCCCTTTTTCTTGTAGTTGGCCGGCGTGGTCACATCAGTAGGCTCCGGCAGTAGTTTTCTTGAAGATGGCGTGGGCTTAGCATCTAGTAGCTCCCGTAGTTGTGCTGCTAGTCGAGCGGTTTCCCTGTCTGGTTCAGCTTCAGCTGTATCATCTTGCGCCAGAATTGCGCTTGTCTCGAGAGAAGCGGGAATCCCCTCGAGCTTCTGCTCTTTGGTACTACTAGCGCTAGAAGTAGAAGTAGCGTGATTTGTCAGCCAGAGAACCACATCTGTCGCGGTACTTTGTTGTCTAGGCTCAGTCTTTGAGACATCCCCTAGGGGACCACCGTAGTACCAAAATACTTGACACTGCGATAGCGCCTCCTTCGCCGAAAGTTAGAAGATGGCGTAGATCATCATGACGACGCGGAAGATAACAAAGTAACAGTTGCGGCGCTGAGATGACAACCGTCGCGATTCTCCTCCTCGTTTGAGAAGAAGTTGGCGCCATGCTCCTGCTAGTTGTTGTAGCGCTAGCACTAGTAAGAACTGCTAGCGCTACAACTAGTTCAAAAGATCGATAAGACGCTTCATCTAACTATTTAGACGAACTACTGGCATAATTACGCGACAAGAACATGCACTAATATCAAGAGGCTCGCTCGTGCTCTCATGCCTACTACTAGAGTGCACACGTAGACGCCCTCAAGAAAGTACTAGAAGAAGACGAACAGAAATAAGGCGGATTGCACTTTCTTACTTTGATCCTAAAAATCATCAATGTCTTTTTGATTTTCATAGATATGACGAGTAGCCACCTAGTACTACTACAACAGGCGCCTCCAGCGTTCATATTGCTGCACTAGCTTTAGTTACATTAATAATAAAGATTATCTTTGAGAACGCCACAGGCGCCAGGATCAGGAATTATAAAAGCGCTCGGCTTCACTGAGCTTCTATTGCATCATATTAAGCCACCAGACAAGCCGCAGATGCGTATATATTTCATGCAGTACGCTCTAGAAGTTCATCTTTAATCATTTCCCTTCTCATCTTCTTGCTAGCACGATTGGGATTGGTGGCAATATGGTCGCGCACGCGACAAAACTAGAAGAAAGGCGCAATCGACTATACCAATGACTCAAGTAGCAAAAAAGTCATGCACTCTGAGTAGCACTACGCCTAGTTGTAGTATAGCATAATTGGGATGCCCCGCCAGGAGAAGAATCTCCTCGCGGTGCGCCGCGTGCTTCTCCCAAGGGTCTTGCGATATGTAAGAGACCGTTACTGCTTGCCCGCCGCTAATCTTCGTAAAGACGTAGTCATAATTTAGAGGAACACCAAAGAACAAATAAAGCTTCTCGCTCTACAAGAACGCGCCATAAAGTACTATGCTCGTCACTCACCAGCCTTAAACTACGGCGAAGCGCCGCCTCTGCGTACCAAGTAGGCACTCTAAGGCTGCAGATGATGGACCTCGCATCGAACGGCTGAGACCGCGCAGCACTCCGCTGCGGGCGGCGGATGATGGCCGTAGGCATAGTCTTTTGTGTCTATTTCAACTACGCGGCGTCTGCTCCTACAGCAGCTTGCTGAGCTTGACCAGCATCAACTAGTAGTAGTACTTCTACGACGACCTTACATGCTGCAACACCACCAGCTTCTACTTGGAGCTACTAGTGCGGAACAAATAAACTAGAAGTAGCGAATAGATGCCAAGCGTAGCCCACTACAAGAACAGCTCTACGCCATCAGCTCCGACATGCATCTTCTAGTCACAAAAGCTGTCAACATCTGCACAAGTAGAGTCATCTCCTCGTCCCTGCTTCTACTAGTACTAGTAAGGGGAGCCCTCACCTGCATAAAGTGATAGATCTTCTTGATGGTGGCCCTTGTTTTCCTTTTTGTCCACCGTGGTTTTCTAGTAGCTCTCCTCTTGACGCTCTTCATCTGTCTTGTGCAGCTACAGAAGTAGAAGCTTTGCGCCGACTACTAGTAGAGCAAGCAGCTCACGAGCGGCCACTTTGACTTTCTAGCACTACTCTCACAGAAGCTGCCCGCTAGTATTTTCAAGAGCTACAACTTCACTGACGACACAAACTAAGTACATCAAGAACTCACGAATATCATCGCCGTCCCCTGTCGTCCTCGATGAGTCTTTGCCATTGCGCGGCCTCAAGTTATGACTTTATCTAGTACTAGAATGCTAGAGCACACAACTACGACCACCCCCACCACGACGCCAATTTGCAGCCCACGACCTCGCCCAAGTAGACCTACTGCTCGGCCACGACCACGACGCGGACCACGACCCGAGCGAGTTCTTACTCATTCACCGTCTAGCGCTTCTTCTTCATCAAATACTAGGCACTTCGATGAAAATACTAATCCACATCATGATCAGAAGAACTACAAAAAGTACTAGACGAAGGCTCACCCCTACGCCTACCGCCGCTCCGTCCCAGACCAAGCACTAGATGACCTGACGACGAGGACGGCCAGCAGCAGTTGCGCACTCTTGCTCGTCATCGTCTTCAGGAGCAACATTATAAAAATATTACTAGCACACGAAGCTGAGACGTCAAGTAATATAATATAATATAAGAACTATTTAAATTGGTTAAGTATATTATTCCCCAGCTGCAACTTCTTCTACTTCTCCAACTTGTTCATCTAGAAGCACACAGACACGTCATTACCTACATCGCACGACCAAAAAGGACTCGAACTCACGCTAGTACAACTACCAGTAGAAGGACGATAGTGGGAAAGGTGATAGTGGGAAAGGTATACTTTATCAAGGGCGTTTAAGTCCTCGAAATAGACGTGGCCCTCGCGGTCGTGAAGTCGTGGTCCTCGTGGCGGGCGGCGACCGTCGTGGTCGTCGGTCCACCTGCACCTGCTCCAGCTCGTCGCGCAACAACAAGGCAGGAGGAGCAGCAGCCAGCACCAGAAGAACAAGGGGCCTGCAGCTGCTGGTCGTGGTCCTCGTCGTCCTCGACATCGTCAACTACATCCGGCCGCAGCGCCAGCAGTGCAGCTGGGTGCCGTGGACCAGGACGAGCAGCACCACGACCAGGAGCAATCACCTCGTCCACCAGCACCAGCAAGGAAGAAGAGTACCAGGGCGAGGACAGCGCCGTGGCGCAGAAGCCCTAGCTAGAAGTAGACTAGTAATGTCTCCTCCTCCTGCCCCACCTCTCTGCAGCAGCTGCTCCACGACCTGCTCCCCAGCAGTGCGTGGCGATGATTGAGGTCCCTGATTGAGCAACAAGCTGGAGCAGAATACTTTTACTATACCCGCACGCCCCCGGGCCGCCCAGGAGGAGGAGGTGGCCGTCGCCGTCGACGACGTCGTCGTGGCGGAAGAGGTGCTCGCCCTTGTGCTCTAGGAACTAGTAACATTACAAAGTAATCTCCTACAAGAACAAGATGACCGCGCAACGCCCGCAGCTCACGTGCACCCGAAAGCAAAAGTCAGCAGCTCCTGGGGTCGCAGCTCAGAAGTCCTTCAATTGAAGCGCCGCCTGCTGCTGATCATGATGCAATATTTTACAATCTATCATGATCACTCTGATGAAGATGAATTATAGCACTAGAAAAAAAAAACTTGCTCTACTTCTACAACTAGGATATTAGTAGTCTCTTCCTGCAACTTAAAAATACTCATTAAAAAATCACCAATATGAAAAGAAGTTGTAGAACTAGAAGACAAGCCAGCGCTCGCCATCATCTAAGAGTAGTAGTTTTGATTTTTCCAGCGCCGGCTGCTGACCCAGGAGCTGACTGAAAGATGCCGGCGGGCACGGGCGTGCTCATCGGTCGAGCTGCATATACCTACCACCACCAGCCGAGGTAGTCCGACTACAACAGAAGTAGTAGAGGGCCAAAAGTAGACCAATCACGGCAGTACCTCCAACAACAGCCAGGACCTTCATCATCGGCATCAGCAGCAAGTAGATCTAGATGCCGAAGCGACAACTAGTAGTACTACAAGAAGAATCCAGCAGCAACTTCGCAGAGTTGTACAACAAAACAATTATCGCCACACCCTCTTCGCCTGCAGCTGCTCGCCCTGCTCCAGCAGCACGCGAAGACGCGAGGACCTTCGTCTTCTTGTTCTGCGCGCCAGCAGCTACTTCGGCATCAGCGTCGTCTCCTTGTTCTCCTTCATCTTGTTCTATATTCTTGACGCTACTCCTACCCCTTCTCCAACTACTACAACGCGCTGACGCTGCTCATCATGATGGTCTACCAAATGAAGCGCCCTGCTCCTCGCCGTCCTGCTCCTCGCCACGACCTCGTCGGTCGTCTACGACGAGGAGAACTACATCTACAGCTTCTACATCATCAAAAAGAGGAACAAGAAGAACAAGAACAGGCAGCCGAAATAAAATAAATAAGAAGAACAGCGGGTGGCCACTTAAGAAGCTGTAGATGTAGAAGCTTCATCCCCCACCTGGTGCTGGTCGATAGCAATTACTTACTTCTCGCTCCTTCGAGCGAGATGCTGAGCATCTTCAAGAACATCAACAAGCTGCTTCTACCTGTTGAAAAAAAGAGCCTGGCCAACCTGGTGCCTCATTCAAAAGCAGCACCAAGGTGGGCGAAGTCATGATCTTTCTCACCAGCACGGAGTCCTCCTCGGCGAGCGAGTGGCCCCTGTTCTTGTTGGGCGCGCCGCCTACAAACAGCTGCTAGATGAAGACGAGTAAAAAGCAGCAGCTCTTGGTCGTCGTCCTCTCCAGTTCCAACAGTTGTAACAACTGCGCCACCGCATAGCTGCATCTTCAAGAGCAGGCGCCACGACCGCTGCGCCGCCTCCAACAAGCAGTTCATGACAACCCACACGAAGACGCGGCCGGCTGATGATCATGACTGTAGTCGCCCTTTGACATGGACGAGACCAGTCAGCCGCGGCAGATTTGATGACTGAAAGCAGAACGCGTGGCGACCGGAGCACGAGCATCATTCTCCACACAAAAAAGACACGACCACAAGGCCACGCCCGTCAGACTGAAAGACAAAGCAGAAAGCACTGGCTCCCAACCCCAAAGAAACGACCTCCAAGAAAAATTTTTCCAATTGCTCAGCTACCGGGCTCCAGCAGCCATAAAAATTTTAAAAAAAGCTCGCCGCCGAGGGCTCTGATTAAGGACCTAGAAAAAGCTCCCAAACTCCCAACGCGCGAACGGAGTCCGTAAACCGGATAAAAAATCCAAAAAAACCAACAAAAACCGCCAAACACTCAAAATTCTGAACGGTTTCGGGAAAGAATAGGAAACGGCTCGCGCACCCATGCTCCTCGAGGCGGTTCGCTCTAACTTTCGCGAATCTTTCTGCCCCAGCCGGGGGGGCTTTCTTGGTGCGCTCCGCGCTCCTTTTTTCTGCAGCCTGCGCCTCTTCTTAAGAAAAGCGAACGCTGACGAGAAAAAAGAGGAGAAAAATGAGTAGCGAAGCGGATATGTATACGAGACGCCCGAACGCCGAAAGTTCTAACCCTGTAGCGTTATCCGTTCGAGGTTATTAGACTGCGAGACTTTTGGCAGGCGGAAAAATGTGAAGGAAATCGACAAGAAGCGCGACAGTACAAGACATCACAGGACACTATAAGACATTATAAGACACTGCCGGACGATATAAGAGCCCACCGAGCCGCTAGGGACATTAGAGGGCCCTAGCTATCCGCTCACGACAATAGAGGGAACCCCTCAGGGGGACGATCGTCAGGCATCGCAGACACTTTCGGACGAGTATGACGCTGCGGGCCCTGTCTACTGGATTCGCACGCGAGTGCTTGGGCTTCAGGATGGTCAAGATCTAAAATCTCACGGATCACATCACCAGGAGAAAATCGCAAGAAATCCGCAAAACAACACGGCACAGATTTAGGATTTCGCAGAGCTATGAGTTAGTGCCACTACCGCATAGATTTAGTCTCGTCACATCATGGATAAGAATGCGACGCAAGGTGTATGAGTCGGAGGTGTGTTAAGGTCATCGACGTCATACGAAAGAGGAAGAACGCAGCACGAGTAGGCTTCCGGTTTGTGACAAAGGGCGGCCCCACTCTACGCGGCCGACAATGGACGGCCTCACTCTAGATCCACTAGATCAACTAGCAGCATCTTACTGGATGCGGGCCACTTCTTTTTCCGCACAACCTCCCGGACCTCCAGGAGCTGGCACGCGGGGAGACTCTCCACCAAAATCCTGCACGCCGCTCTGTCTTCGGCCAGGACGTGCCTCCTGCACACCTTGGCCTCCCAGATGTCGACGTGGGTAAGCATCAATCT